GGATGGATGGATGGATGGATGGATGGATGGATGGATGGATGGATGGATGGATAGATCTGTGAACTGACACATCCACAAATAAACCAGACTCCAAGTAAACCCTTCATGGTCACTGTTGATGGAAAATGTTTAGCCTTGCTTTCTATTGCGACCTCGTCATGATCGTCCTTTTAAGGCTTTGAGAGAGAGAGGGTGTGATGCCAGAGAGTGACCCTCGAAGGCCAGATTGTTATTCAGAAAGTACTAAAACAGGATATCTTATTTTTGTACACTTTCAATGTCCACAATTATGTGTTACCACCTTTGCTGCTGTAATACCACAATTTCCCCATTGTGGGACAAAGAAGGCATTTTTTTATTCTATTCTATCTACTGAATCACTTATTTTAAAACTGGTTTTCAACTTTTTCCAGGGTTAAAAAAATGCAGGTGAAGAACTCCCGCTTTTAAATTAATATAATAGTTTTTTTTTTTTTTTTTAAAAACACAAATTCAAAGAAGAGGTGTTGGTTAGAGGGATGGTTAGATTAATCTAGAGTTCAGTTCATCTATGGCTCTAATTACCTCACATCTGAAGGCACCTTTAACTTTAGTCCTACAAGAAGAAGAAGGTTGTTGGTGCAACAGTTCTATTTGATGGAAAATAGAATATTTTTGACTAAGCTAATTATTTTTAGCTTGGAATAATGTATTTAGTTATTAATACAGGAAAGAAAATTGAGAGGGAAATATTTTATAATGAGTTGGACTTAGAAAAAAGGCCAATCCTAAACACCATCTGTAAATGTTCATAGAAGGTGCCCCATGTGCAGTCAATATGAAATCATTTCACTTTGGTGGAGGGCATACTTAATCTGCTTTAGCACAAAGAATTGATGCCTTAGAAACTGGCTTGCTCGATTGAAAAAGAGAACATGACCTCCAAGCAACTCCCCGTATTGCTGTCATTTCCTGGAGTCGACATGTTTTCTCTGAGTGAGAAATGTTGTCAACAACTTTAAACACCAAAACCCTCTCAGCTATCTCTTTTCAAGCGACAGCGGTGCATCTGTCTTTGGTATCTACTTAGCTTTGGGGAAAACATGCAAGAAAACAAAAAGATTCTTGGTTATAATGTAAGTTCATGGTAGAAAAACAAACAAGTTTTCCAATAAAAGCTATTCTATAGAATCCATACATATTTTCTAGATATTTTTTACATCTCCTTTAGTTTGACTCTTTAAAAAATCTTGTAAAATCCATTTATATTGCAGGTTTGCTGGAGAAGGACCCGTCCTGACATGTTGCTGCTGGGTGGCTCAGCCCGGCAGGCCAAGGCAGCGGAGCGTAAGGAATCAGTGCTAATGAGAAATCCTTTCATTAGACATCGCTGCAGTGTGCTGAAGCTAAACTGATCAGTGTCTGCCATCTTCTCCCACACAGATTAATGCCTGTGGAAAAATGGCAAGTGATCACTCACAGCTGGTGCGACGGGTGCTGGGAATCGTGCAGCAACTGGAACGAACTTCATCCTTTCAGCTTCGCTGCTAAGAGCTAGTGGATAATGTACAAGGCTGAAGCCGGGGAATTACGGTCTAACGTAACGGTCTTCCATTCTTTATGGGGTCAATCTTGATCCATTATTGTTGCACTGAAAAAACAATCTAAAATTAAGTAAAAATGTCTTAAATCAAGTGTATTTACTCTTAATTTGAGCAGGTAAATTAGAGAGTTTGCCAATGGATTGAGTATTTTTACACTTAGAATAAGTCAATTAGATAATATGCACTTGAAATAAGACAATGCAATTGATTTTTCTTATTTAAAATGTAACTTGTCTTGTTCCATTGGCAAAGTGTCTCATTTACCTCCTCAATTCAGGATAAAATGCACTTATTTTATGAAAAAAATGACTACTTTTTTGCAGTGTGTTGCAAGCAAAGACACATTTGCTAATGAAAAAACTTAAAAAAAAAAATTTGGAAAGAAAATTTGGAAAAAAAGCACATTTTGGAAATGGAAATAAAAAAGAATTTAGTCGAGAAATGAAACTTTTAAAAACATCTTTATCAAAGAGAAGTTTTGAAAGAAACTTTGCTGCTTAGCAAGATTTAAAAGTTTCCTTTCTTTCTAAAAAACTATCATATTCCAACATTTTTTCAGCAAAATTTCAAAATTATAATATAAAATATATATTTTTTTATTTTTACTTTTTCAAATTTAGATTAACTTTGATAAACTGCATTCTTTTCAAATTATCAGGAGCAGATTTGATTTATGTAGGTCTGTATGGTTGGTAGAAATAATATTTTCATTGGTCAAGAGCAAACGTTTGTATTGGGCTTGAAGTGAAAAGAATGGAATTTGCAAAACTCTGAAAAAGAGATGAAAAAATAAATAAATAAATTTGAAAATTAAGAAAATTAAATCTGAAAAAAAAAAACGAAAAATACACATCTAAAAGAGAAAATTGTTTGAGATGTAATATATGCTTTTTTACAGTTAATGTACAATAATAGATTAATGGAGAATAATAGGCGTGAGTGGATTATATAATATATATTTCTATAGATATAGTTGTGTGAATTGGAACCAATACATAACTTTGTGTACTTGCCCTGATTCATTTATGTGTGTTTTACAAAGGTTTTTTTAGTGCGGATTCATATATGGATATCTGATCTGGCTCATGTTCTTAAATCGATAAATATGACTGAGATTTTTTTCGTCATTAATTATTGATTCATTGACTTTATTGATCTCACAGAGGAGAAATTTACTCCTTACTA